CTCGGCCGCCCCAAGGCCACCCGAAGCACACCCGCATCCCAGGCACCGCACGCAAGCACGCAAGACATCCGGGCTCGGCCCCGGGCGGGGAGCGCAGCCCGGAGGCGACGCGGCCACCTTCCGGAACCCTGGCTCGCATCCGCCGCAGGAATATGGGGGAAAACAAGGCCACGACACGCTAACGGCGAGTGTTCCTCCCTCCCGCCGTCCCTCGCGCGCCTGAGGCGAGCGACGGCCGGGCTCTTGGCACGCGGCGGCGCCCGCGCCAGGCGGTGGAAGGCGAGGGGCTGCTGAGGGTGGAAGGGAGGGCCGCGCCTGTCATGTGGCGGCGTGTCACGTGCTTGCGCCCACACAAGACAAATGGCACTGGACACCTCCCCCGCGGGAAGGTCACGCGCCCGCGCTCCAGTTTAAACTGATAGCCAGATTGAACGGTTGAGTGACTCGTGACAGACGTTCTATTATGAAATGGTTTGACACAAAAACCAACTTGCAGCCTTCTAATCCGGATGCGTAAATAAGGTAAATGTATTCAGCGCAAAAAAAAAAAAAAAAAAAAAAACACAAAATTCAGATCTCCAAAGACAATTCCTTGGTTGTTAATCAAGCTTACTAGGGACTCCTCCTCCACCATTCACTGAGCGCAGACCCTCCTGCGCGGCCGCCTAAGCACCCCTACCTACCCCCCTACCGCCCCCCCGCGCCGCCCGGAATGAATGAGCGCCGAAGCAAGAGCCTCAAATGCGGACAAATGGTTAGGTAATGTGGAAGGCGCAGGCACGCGTCGCGGTGTTGCGGCCGCGCCCCGGTGTTGTGTTACCGGCGAAGGTGTGGCTGTGACCAGCGCGCTGCCTGTGCCAACACGACCCTCCCTCGGCCTCTCCGGGCCTCACGACCTTCCGCACGACCTGCTCTCTCTCTCTCTCTCTCTCTCTCTCTCTCTCTCTCTCTCTCTCTCTCTCTCTCTCTCTCTCTCTCTCTCTCTCTCTCTCTCTCTCTCTTCTCTCTCTTCTCTCTCTCTCTCTCTCTCCCTGAGCGGCAGAACCAGGCGCCTGCCGCAGGCACCGGCTGCGGAGCATCAGGTGCCAGGCGGCCGCCCCTTGCAGCGGCCCCGGCAGCTGGCCACTGCGCGCTGCCTAACCACCTGGCACTGATGACTTCGGCCCCTGCTCAGGGCACTGCCACCCGGCCTGCTCGCCGATTTTGTGCTGCTTCCCGTGCCTGAAACGGATCCTGCGCCCGCCCTCGGCCCTCGGCCGCGCCCGCGTCTATATACACAGCGCGGTTTCTCCCACTTCTTCCCGGCAGAAAACTCACTCACTCACTTACTCTCTCTATCACACACATCACACACACACACACACGCACACGCACACACCACACGCACACACACACACACACACACACACACACACACACCACACACACACACACACACACACACACACACACACACACACACACACACACACACACACACACACACAACACACACACACACACACACACACACCACACACACACACACACACACCTGTTTTGGCACGTCGCGCGCCTCCCGAGGTACACTCCGCCTCGTGTACTCGCCCGCCCGTCATGCTCCCAGTCAGCACGCCCATTTTTCTCTCTTCGTTACACGCTTTTCCCACCCTCCTCCCCTTCCCCTCCCTCCCCCTTTTCTATTCATCTTCATTATCGTGGGAGATAGTGAGACATATTCGGCTTTCCACGAAACAGAGAGAGAGAGAGAGAGAGAGAGAGAGAGAGAGAGAGAGAGAGAGAGAGAGAGAGAGAGGAGAGAGAGAGAGAGAGAGAGAGAGAGAGAGAGAGAGAGAGAGAGAGAGAGACAAAGAAAGAGAGAGAGGGGAACAGGGATCTGGAGACGGAAGAAAGGAGAAAGAAGTTAGAAAGAGAGGGAGAGAGAGAGAGAGCGGGACGGGAATAACGAGGGAGAAGAGAGGAGAGGACGACCGCCAGAGAACGGGATCGCGTGTCATCCATTTCCATCGTCAATCTACCCGGGGACACTGGGATGGACCCTTCGCCACTCGCAAAACCTCCGTGTCTTCATTAATAAAAGCATCATCTTTATCATCAACTATATGTCTTCCATATCATCAACAAAATCATCTTTTTCATTAACAAAATCGTCATTTGATCATCTTCAGTATTGACAAAATCTTTATCATAAACAATATAATTTTTTCATCATAATCTTTATCATAAACAATATATATTTTTTTTTACTAACAAGATCATAATCTTTACCATAAACATTATCATCATCTCTTCCATTAAGAAAATCGCCATTTTTGTCATCGTCACCTTCGTTATTGCCGCAATTGGCCTGACCTTCCCTGCCACCGACGACAATCTTCGAAATTGCCAATTTTCCCTCTCGAAGCGCAACCGCGACGGCCCAGAGGAGAGAGAGGAAGGGGGGAAGGGGGAAGGGGAGGAAAGGGAGGGAGGAAGGGGGAAGGGAGGAGCATACAGATGTACAAACACACATACACATGTACACATACATACATACACATACACATACACACACACATGTACACACACACACACACACACACACACACGCGCACACAACACCACACACACACACACACACACACACACACACACATACACACACACATACACACACACGACACATACACACACACACACATACACATACACAGAGGGAGAGAGCGGGGAGGAGGGAGGGAGGGGGGAGGGGGGAGGGGGGGAGGGGGGGAGGGGAGGGGGAGGGGGAGGGAGAGGGAGGGAGGGAGAGGGAGGGAGAAGAGAGGAGGGAGAGAGAGAGAGAGAGAGAGAGAGAGAGAGAGAGAGAGAGAGAGAGAGAGAGAAGAGAGAAAGAGGAGAAGGAGAGAGAGAGAGAGAGAGAGAGAGAGAGAGAGAGAGAGCGAGAGAGCAACCGCAACACGCCTTCTCCTCACCTCACGCCCACATGCAAAGTTAGCATATTTTTTTACGTTCTTGTGCGTGTGGTCTAGGCCGCCTGGGAGTCGCAGAGAAAGAGGAGAAGGAGAGAGAGAAAAATAATGAGTGTAGGGCAAGGGGGCACATGAAAGAAGAGGGAAGGGGAGGTAAAGAAAGAGAATAGAAAGAGAAAAAAGAAATAGAAAGAAAAATGGAACGAGAAAGCGAGAGAGGGGAGGAAAGGAGAGGAGAGGAGAAATGAGAAGCGACGAGGAGAGGAGGGGAGAGGAGAGGAGAAGGGAGGACAGAAAGAAATAGGAGAGAAGAAAAGAGACGAGAGAAGAGGAGAGGAGAGAAGAGAAGAAAAGGGAAGAGGGGAGAAGAGGAAAGAAGAGAAGAGAAGAGAAAGAGTATAGAAGAGAAAGAAAAGAAGAGAGGAGAGGAGAGGCGAGGCACGGAGGCCATGGTCAATAACACTACAGTTACCACTCCGATTCTGAGCTCCCCCGATTCACAGAGACCAGGCGCCTGCACCCCGTCTTGCATTCCGAGAAACGCGAGAGAATCCATACAGACAGACACAGAAACAGACAAACAGACACCGTCTTGCATTCCGAGAAACGCGAGAATCCATACAGACAGACAGACAGACACAGAAACAGACAAACAGACACGCAACACAATCACATCACTCACGCAAACTCTTTCATTAAACGAGGCTGCAAGAGAAAATTGGAGCAAGGGAAAAAAGAAGAAAAAAATAACAGTAACAAGAAGACCAAAAAAGAGAAATTGAAGGAGAGAATGAGAGGGGAGAGGAGGGGGGGGAAGGGAGGGGGAAGGGTAGTAGAGATAAAAGAAAGAGAGAGAGAGAGAGAGAGGGAGAGGGAGGGGAGTGAGAGAGAGGAGAGAGAGAGGGAGAGGGAGAGGGAGGAGGGAAGGGAGGAGGGAGGGAGGAGAGAGAGAGAGAGAGAGAGAGAGGAGAGAGAGAGAGAGAGAGAGAGAGAGGAGAGAGAGAGAGAGAGAGAGAGAGAGAGAGAGAGAGAGAGGAGAGAGAGAGAGAGAGAGAGAGAGAGAGAAGAGAAAGACAGAAAAGAAAAAAAAGAGAAAGAGAAAACACAAAGAAAGAAAAAAAAAAAGAGAAAGAAAGAGAGAGAAAAGCGACTACACGCGGAGTCGCCCTGGCCCAAAGGGTGAGAGCAAGGGTGAGGGTGAGGGCGAGGGTGGTTGACATGAGGCAGCGTCCCACTCATCACCTCGCAGCTCATCATCATGATCCTGGCACCCTCCCCTGGCACCTCCTCCCCCTGGCACCCTCCCCCTGGCACCCTGTCCACCTCGCCACCCTCAAGTCGCCTCAACGTGACCATCATGTTCTTGGTCCTTTCCGAAGCCCTGTTCTCCTGTTGTCCCTCTCCCTCTCCCTCGCCCTTTCCCCCTCCACCCCTTCCCCCCCCCCCCCACGCACCCTCAGTCCCTCCCCTCGCCCGCACTCGACCAGGAGCAGATCCCTCACCACCACACAATACCGGCGCAATACACATCCACCCCATTCCCGTCGGTCCTCGAGCTTAACACCATAAGTTACGTGGGGTTCTTCTACCTGCATGCGATCGACTCTCCTCCGTCTAATCACCTCGGAAGCCTTTCTGATGTATGCAAATCCGAGTCACATCACGTCGACAGTGACTCCAAAGCATTCGCACTCTCCATGCCGCATCACATAGCGTCACCTTCCTTGTGTCACGCCCGTCGGACACGTCGAGAGCACTTTTCCTCAACTCGAGGAGGAGGAATGCACATCAACTTCCCCCCCCCCCCCTCCGAGATTTCCGCGTTCTGAAATCCATTTTTTTTTGGGGGGGGGGGGGGACCAAAAAAACACTCCAATCCCTTTTTTTCTCTTTCTCTCTTTTTTTCCATCGCACAATTCTCATTTTTCCTTCTTCTCTCACTGGCCTTTCCCTCCCTCGCGCCGCCCTCTCCTTTTCCCCGGCGTGAAACAGGAGGGAGGGGGGGGGGGGAGCGGCCGCGTGAGGACCACCGCCACGGCACACAACACGCACTTGTACACCGACGCCAGAGCCAGCGCGCCCGGCACCCTCCAGCACCACCGGGTATTCCGCTACTACTGACTCACTCGCTCGCTCGCTCGCTCACTCCCTCCCGCTTGCTCCCTCGCCCGCTCGCACCGCCACCGCTGCCACCTACCCCCCCCCCCCCCCCCCCGCCTTCACCCGCTAAAACTGTCCTCCTCACCCCACAGACAGCTCCATACACTTATACGCATATGCACACACATGCACACGTACGCACGCATCTACACCTACACGCACGCCCGCCCGCACCGTGACGTCACCCTCGCCCACGGCCTCGCTGTCGAACGGCCTCGTCCCCGCCCTCGTCAGAAGCGAAGTACTGCCGCAAAACAGGTATGCTTGCCGTGATAAATTCTGGCACCCGACACTTGGCGTAGCGCGCGGAGAGGCCCTCCCCTCCCCTCCCGCCCCCTCCTCCCCTCCTTACACCCTCTCCTCTCCTCCTCTACCTCCTCTTCTTTTCCTCTTCCTCTATCCTCCTTCCTAGTTCCCCTTTACTCCACTTTTCTCCTCGTTTGTCCTTCCTCCTCCTTCCTTCCTCTTCTTCTCTCCTCCTCCTCCTCCTCCTCCTCCTCCTCCTCCTCCTCCTCCCTCCTCCTCCTCCCTCCTCCTCCTCCTCCTCCTCCTCCTCCTCCTCCTCTCCGCGGCCTGGCACTTGTTGAGTTCGTCTCACAGGCTTTCGTCCCGTCTCGCTCAACGTCCCCCATAGAGGCGCGCTTTCCCCGCCCGCCTTCGGCACTCCTCGCCAGCCCGCGACGAGCCATGCCCAGCGGACCAGTGCCACAGCAAGCCCGCCGCCGCCCATTTACTCCAAACCCCAGAGAGCCATGCGGGAGAGTTTACGAATCCGCCTTTGAATCGAGGGCCCACTGGGCGGCCCGCACTCGGATTTCCATAAAGCAGCAACGCGCGCAGGGGGAGCGCGAGGGACGCGGCGCCCCGCAGGGAGGCAGAGGACGGTACTCTCGTCTGGGTGCACGGCGGCGGCCCGGCGCGCGGCGTAGTAACGCCCATGGCAGCCCAGGTGCCACCGTGCCTCAGTCGCGAGTCTTATTCCAGCTGCCGCGGCTCATTCACCTTTTTTATTTACACCTTCTTACTCTTTTTCTTTCTCCCTCTCTCTCCCTCCCTCACGCCCTGACTCTGACTCTCTGACTCTCTCTCTCTCTCTCTCTCTCTCTCTCTCTCTCTCTCTCTCTCTCTCTCTCTCTCTCTCTCTCTCTCTCTCTCTCTCTCTCGGTGCCACCTTGTCTCCCTCGGCCGCCTCCCTCCCCCCTCTTCCTGCTCAAACATTCCTCGCTCTCGACGGCCGCTGCCAAAACTCCTTTCGCAGCTCCCCCGCAGCTTCCCCAAAATGCCAGGGACTTTTCGGTGTAACTCGCGTCCCTTGTCACCTGGCAGACGGGACGTCAAAACACCAGTCGAACGGGACAATCCAGCGGCCATAAACAGCAAAGCCAAACGGGACAATCCAGCCACGGACAACGGCAGGATTAGCGAACGGCGAAGAGTAATAAGCAAGAGATTAAAGGATAAACGGAAAATGATGAATCCTGCGGTGCCAAGCGGGGGGAGGGACGGAACGCCATACAAGGACGGTCTGGCTGACACCCGCGGCCCTTGAGGGTATGACGGAGCAGCCAAGGCGCCCGACGCTTCGCCCTGGCCGCCGCCACCCAGCCACTGCACGCGCCCGTAACCCCGCCTAATCTATATACACTACGTACCTCAACACTCTATTACGAGGAGGGAAGAGGTGAGGGCGGGGAGGGGAGGGGAGGGGGAGGTGAGGGTCGGGGAGGGGGGCGAGGGGGGGGGGGGGTGAGGGCGAGGGAGGGGGAGGGGGGGGAGGGCGAGGGAGGTGGGGAGGCGGAGGTGAGGGCGGGGAGGAGGGAGGGGGGGGGGAGGAGGAGGTGAGGGGGTTGGGGAAGGGGACGTGAGGGGGAGGGGGAAGGAGCAGGGACAGGAGGGCGCAGAGAGAGTGAGATGAAGGACACGGAGAGAAAGAACGAGAGAGGGAAGCAAAAACAGTAAAAAGGAGAATGGCAAATG